TTTAGGCAACACCTGTTTGGGAGAAATTGACAGTCAAAGGGCACATTTAAAAAAAAAAAATCACATATGTTCTTGTGTTTGTTACCTCAATGTGAACGTTGTCAAGTTGCAAATAAAGTTGGTAGGGGAAGGAAGGAAGCCTGCACGAACCCGCTGCTTACCAGGCGCGTTTGTCTGTCTTAATTTGTCCTTCTGTGGGACCTGCTTCCTGACAGAGCGAGACTAGCAAAGAGGGGACCCCCCCCCATTCCTGCAGGTGCATTCTGTTCTGTTAGGCAGGCGGCTTCAGCTAAGAAAATAAAGTTCTCTGGCCTTACTGTTCACCCAGAGAGATGTCTCCCACCCCATGCTAATGTGGCTTTGGAAACACGATTGGCTCTCTAGGGAGTGACGTAGAGTTGTAAGTTGATGTAAAACCAGATGAGATGCTAGGAGTGCAGATGCCTCCACAGAGAGCACCCACAGCTGTCCGTCACCTTCCACAGGGAGGGGACAACTGTGAGATTCACCTTCAGGATCAAGGGCTATGAATTTATTTCCATTCCTTGGAGAGTCATTTTTTTTTCGGGAGAATGTGTTGGTAGCCCGCAGGCAGGCAGTTAAGAAAGGACAGGTCTCTCATGTGTAAGAATGAAAGCCCAAACCTCTGTTTGAACTCAGGGCCCACTGTCCCCTGTCTTTCAGTGTCTTCTCCTGGTGTTCTCCGCTCCTGAAAGGGTCAGATCTATCACCGTAAGGGTCAGATCTATCACCCCGTTTTCTTTCATCTGATTGACTCGGAGCCACCTGGCTTCTGTCTTGCTCAGTCTATGACAGTGACCTGTGACTTCCTGATGCCTTCCCCAGTACATCTTTTCTCAGTCCTTCACCATAGCTCCTGTTTAGTGGATGGATGGCTACCCCGAACCCCCCCCCCCTTATAGTTCTGTCTCACATCTGAGTACTCTTTCCTTGTAGCACTATTTATTTATTTATTTATTTATTTATTTATTTATTTATGCTGCTTTCATACCTATTTATAGTATGCCAAGTGTGTCCAGCTTTCTAAATTCTGATGTAAACAGTATATTGTCTGCACATGTGCAGGGCAGGGGGGGACATTGGGAGCTCACTGTCCCAGTACAGAGTTCCCCTTCTTCGCTTGGTAGCTGTTTTGACCAGGGTCAGTCAGTTAATTTTTTTTTTTTAATTTGAGGTATTTGCACATTTTGTTTTATTGCTATGTCTCTAACTCTGGGAAGTCAGTTCATATTTTACACTTGTTTTCTCACCTTCAAAATTTGTTGATTAGAAATGCACACTTGTTTGGGATGTTGAGGGATATGGGATGCCCTTCTGTATGCTGTGAATATGTGTTGCTTTTATTGCTTGATGAATAAAGCTGTTTTGACCCATGGCCAGGCAAAATATACCTAGGTAGGAAATCCAAACAAAGATGCTGAGAGAAGGAAGGCAGAGCTGAAGAGATGCCATGTAGCCGCTGAAGGAGTAACATGAAGGCACATTACTGGTGAGCCACAGCCTCGTGGCAATATCCAGATTAATAGAAAATGGGTTCATTTGTAAGAGAGAGCCAGCCAGTAATAGGTCTGAGCCATTGGCCAAACAATTATAGTTTAATGTTAGCCTCAGAGTGGTATTTCATAAGCAGATTCAGGGACCCAGTGGGCAGGAGAGAAACTGGTCTAATGGGAGTGGGTGAGAGGGAGGAAAACACCCAACTACAGTTGAGAATGTCCCATAATTGAACTCTCCAAAGCCTGGTGTTGTGCATGATTCGAACAACCAATGGGGTTGTTCTCATGCCTTGAGGTTGTGTCATTGTGAGGAATGCTCAAATATAAATCTTTGGTCCTTCTTTTCCAAGTTCCATTCCCACCTTGCTATCCACCTTCTGTATTCTTAGACTTGAACCTGCTAGCTGTGTGCTTATGGATTTCCTATGTCAAAACAGAAACACCATTTCTACCCTATTGCCACATAGCCAATCATGGCAGGCTTAGCTGTCTGAGCACACTCAACATACTGTGTTAAAGCTGTGTACGTCATAGGCATGACACAGGCCTGCTGGGGCTGGCGACACTGCTCTCCTTGCTGTGGTCTGTGGAGGACCTCTCTCGCATGCACACACGCTAACGGGCTCTGTGGTTGTTGGAATGAACTTTCTCCTTGCTGCTGGTCAGTGGAGGGCTTCTAAACTTTGCCTGCTCCTCTCAGACTTTCTCTGAGCTTCTAAATGTGTCCCTTTGGTTCTTGCCTATGTGGGTGGCTCTCCATCTTAGCCAGGTAGACCCTCTCATGATAGAAAGGCCCCCTTTACCACAACACTCTGTGCTTCCCATTCTTCTGGCCAGGATTTAGTCTTCACTTTTAGAAGTTCATGTGATTCAACAGAACCCACTCAGACAACCCAAGTGATGTGTCAGCTCTGAATCAATTACATCTGTGAGGCCCTTTCTACCATAGCACAGTCCACTCACAGAGTCTGGAGAGGGGATGATCACTTCTGAGAACTATGACACTGTCTGTGACATAAGAAGCTTGACATCTGGTTGGGAGATGACAAATAAACAAATTGAAGAGAGTTTGAGAGGCCATAAAAGAAGTTAGTGCCATATAAAATGGGATGACAAAGGAGAGCCATTGGTGTGTGTGTGTGTGTGTGTGTGTGTGTGTGTGTGTGTGTGTGTGACAGAGAGAGTGTGTGTGACAGAGTGTGTGTGTGTGTGTATGTGTGAGAGAGAGAGTGAGTGTGTGTGTGTGTGTGAGTGTGTGTGTGTGTGTGTGACAGAGAGTGTGTGTGACAGAGTGTGTGTGACAGAGAGAGTGTGTGTATGTGTGTGTGAGAGAGAGTGAGTGTGACAGAGTGTGTGTGACAGAGAGAGTGTGTGTGACAGAGTGTGTGTGTGTATGTGTGAGAGAGAGTGTGTGTGTGTGAGAGAGAGAGTGAGTGTGTGTGTGAGTGTGTGTGACAGAGTGTGTGTGACAGAGAGAGTGTGTGACAGAGTGTGTGTGTATGTGTGTGAGAGAGAGTGAGTGTGTGTGAGTGTGTGTGTGTGACAGAGTGAGTGTGTGTGACAGTGTGTGTGTGTGTGAGAGAGAGAGAGTGAGTGTGTGTGTGTGAGAGAGAGTGAGTGTGTGTGTGTGAGTGTGTGTGTGTGTGTGTGAGAGAGAGTGAGTGTGTGTGTGTGAGTGTGTGTGTGTGTGACAGAGAGAGTATGTGTGAGAGAGAGTGAGTGAGTGTGTGTGACAGAGAGTGTGTGTGTTGTGTGTGTGAGAGAGAGTGTGTGTGTGTGTGTGTGTGTGAGAGAGAGAGAGAGAGAGAGAGAGCGAGAGAGAGCGGAGAGTTTCGAGCTGTGGAGAGAGGAAAGAGACCCTGGATGTACTTTTGTGAGATCACCACAGAGAGATTCTCGTATATGGTGGCTACCGTTATCTTCTTTCATCATAGCGTCACACGCAGAGCCATAGTGTCAGCGATGTGTGGAATAGGAATGGTTGTTGAGAGGATTAACATTGGTTACCCGTGACTGACATAGCAAATGCTTAAAATGAGGTAGGTGAAGGAAGTGGGTGCAGTTGGCTTGTTGGCTTGGCTGACGATGCTGTAGTTGGAGCTTGGGTTTGGGAACTCTGCAGGGTATCTGGGAGGTGTCTGTGTGAATAACATTCCATTGTGACACAGGACACAGGTTGATTTAAATAGTGCATCTCAGGCTCCCAGGAGACGCCACCCGGAGAAGATGTCAGCAACATTCTTATGTCTGTGTCTGAGATGGGACTGCCTCCAACATCGCCTTCCCACCCGCAGCTCCGGTCTCCTCCCCTTCTGTGTCTCCATGCTGAGCAGGCCACCTTTGCCTGCGGTCCCTCCTCTAAGTGGGGGTTGCTGGTTTCTGCCAGCAAGCTTTCTGAGGGGAAAAGTCACATTTGCAGTGTTCATTGATTTCTGTGGTATAAATTCTCACCAATGTGAGGCTGTGGTTGTTTGCTGGCTAAGACAGTGCATTTGAAAGGTGGCAGGAGACACTTAGGGGTCTGCAAAGCCTTGAATATTTGCTAACTGGACTTTGTGGCCTAATCTCTGCCATAGTTTTAGCAAAAATAAACCACATGATTGTGGTTGGAGTTGTCCTTATGGCCTTCACCCAGGGTGGCGGCAGGGATGGCTGGCCATTCAAGGTGGCAGTGTGTGAGATGGTCCAGAGCCATCCCGTTGGACTGCACTCACGAAAGAACGCCCGGTACATGAGGACCACAAAGCTGTGCAGAGCAGAGGGGAGCAGGATTTCTGTCGGGAAGCCTTTGCTGCCAGCTGGGCAGAGATGGTCCCTGGTTGGGTCGGGGGCATTAGTGGGAAGGGGTGGGGCAGGACAGAGGTTGAGGATAGAGTCAGCAGGATTTGCTGACTTGGAAAAGAAGAGGTAAGCTCTGGTCCTGAGTGTAGAAGCAGTACCCAAAGGATGCCCGAGATGGCACTAAAGTCTCAGTTACCGAGATCGTGTTATAGAGATTTTAGAAGAAAGTTGGAACTCCATCAATTTTAGTAAATTATGTCCTATTAGCCATGTGAGAAAATTCTTTGACTGTCCACTCCCCACCCCCACTACCATCTTGATTTGGGGTTTCCCTGCCTCTGAGGCTGGGCCTAGAATTGCCAGGCCAGCTTTGTTCTCACCACCCTTCTGCCACCAGTTTCCAGTTGTACCAGCCACTTGTGCCTCATGCCTGGCGATGGCTTGTACTTTTAAGAAAGACATTTTAAAAATAAATCCAGGAAGCACAGTGATGTTTCTATGCTGTGGTGTTTTTAAGAAAGGAAACTGTAGTGGAATCTATTTTGGACAAGGCTGTTTGGGTCCTATGAGTTAAGATTTTTAAAATGTCTATCCAGAAGTTAGAATTTGGCAAGAATTGGAACCCTACCCTAACTCTTAGTTTCTCAAATTAAAGAGTTAATGTTTTATTATATTTGTTAATTGCTTGTGTCTGTTGTATAGGTTTTACTTGTAATGGACACAAGGACAGAACAGACCTTCATTTTAAAAGTAAGTAAAATTTGGATGTGTAGTGAATTTAAAAAATGACTTTCAAAAATGTAAACATGCTTTTGGAAGAAAAAGTAATATTTTTGCATGGTATCTGAGTATCTGAGTGTTTTATGTTCCTGGTGATCTATATTTCTGTCTTGCACAGTTGACAAACATGCTATAGCTTCTATGTAGAAAGTTGTATGTTAAATAGTGTGTAATTGGAATGCACCGGAGAGCCAAGAGCCTTCAGGTGTGTCCGTTGTGATTCATGAGGGTCACACTGGGTCTGGCTTGGGTCCTGGCTTGCTCCTTGGTGAGAATTCAGTAATAATTAAACGAATAACTTCAGTTTTGAAGTTGTTTTTGTGATGGATTATCATATGTATTCTAAATATGTCCTGATTGAACATTCCCATGACACCCAAAAGCAAAGATGCTTGTCTTGGGCATCCCCTTTCTCTTGCTGGTCCAGCATGACTGGTGTGGAGCCTGCCTCTTTGTGAACATTCCATGCCACCACACCCAGTGGTGTTTAACCATGTTTAAAACCAGGGTGTAACACCAGGAAATGTGTAAGTCCCGTCCTTTTGGAGGTTAGTCGGTAGTGTTTTGCAATTGAATTTAAAAGTTGCTGCTTCATCTAGAGCATGTCTGGTGTCTGGAGAATGTGACTCAAACTGGTTGCTGCCTTAAAGTTGTACATAAGGAAAATCAAACTTAGAGGTCGCAGAGAAATCATTGTATGTCATCCTGATGACTTAGTTTGAGAGCATCGCTAATAAAAACACTGACCCACGTAATTGATTTTAATGGCAGCTTTGTGGCATCTTCTGTTGTCTGGATTCATGCCAGATGCCATCAGCAGAGCCTCCGGGGACTGAGGGGCACAGAGCAGCAGATGAGTGGTTTCTCTGAAGCCCGAGTAACTCGGATAGATTAGCGTGGTTGATAAACACTGAGCACAGCAGGCTCCAAAGGCAACTGCGGGTACAACTGACCTTTTTGTTCTCTGTCAGGGTCTGAGGAAGAGCAGTGAGTACAGCAGGAGCAGGAAGACCGTCATCCCCCGCTGTGTGCCCCACATGGTGTGTCTACACAAGTACATCATCTCGGAGGAGTCCGTGTTTCTCGTGCTGCAGCGTGCCGAAGGTGGGTGGGTCAGTCTGACTGTGGCCGAGTGCAGGCATCACCTGCCTTGTGTTCCAGTATCTGCGATGATGCTTGGCCGGTGTCATTTCATAAGCACAGAGATGGGGGACCTGTCTCACCACTCTTGCTCACCCGTGTCATTTCATAAACACTGAGATGGGGGACCTGTCTCCCCACTCCTGCTCACCCTCCTTACTATGAATTTTGAGGGAAGATGAGAACCCAGGTGACCAGCCAGCTGCACCTGAACTGTGGGACAATCCTAATGTGTGCACTTTGCTCTGGAATTAGCTGACATGATGAGAACTTTAATGTGAATGCATGCCGAGAGAGCTGGGTTTTATTTAGAGATTTAATTCTGTTCTCTTGTCTGCTCTGAAAAGCCACACTTACGTTAGATGACTAAAAAAGCATCCCCTGCAGAATTAATTAATTGCTTCCTTTACAGGAAGGCAAGGGTGTTTGCTTAACATTTGACATTGCCTCGTTTTTCTGATCTGAGCCTCATGCACACAGCCATGGGCGCCTCACGTGAGTACAAAGCAGAGGCGTGGGCTCTGCCTTCAGCCACTTCCTAGGGAACAGGTGGCAGAAGGCACTGTGCTGGTTTGGTTTTTCCTGTTCATACCTGAGTTTAAATAAATATTCTCTTATTTATGTGACCACAGCATGTAAATATAAATCCACATAGCATATATTGCCTTTTGGTGTCTAAATAGACATTCTTAAAATAATGAAGAAAACTTAAATTATTTCCCACATTTCACGAAGGTGTCCTTACTTTTATATATAGAATACAATACTTTATTTTACTAATAGGCACAACATTTGAATATAATACCTTTTTCTCGGGGAAAAGGAGGCCCTGCTTTCTGGAATGAGGTCTCTCGTGGTAACTAAGGCAGGGTTTTTGATGGGGGTAATAAAGTACTAATGCTGTTGTTATGAAGTCCACACAAGGTAACTACAGATGGAGGGAAGACTCCACATGCAGTGTTTAATAGGAAATTCAGAGGGCTCCATGGTCTCACAGGTATTACGAGAGTTAATTGCGTGTGTGAATTGGATAACTAATTCACCTTTGTTCAGACATTATAGACAGCTTTTATCTGAGGATACCAGTACATTACAGACATTATTGAATTAGAGGTCACGCCATCTGATAGCAAAATACAGCCACCTCTGGTGTGGAACAAAATAACTTGCGTAGTAATAATCCATAATAATTTAGAACAAGGTCAGTAGGATGAATGTAATTATGGTCAATATTCTATTACCCAGTGTGGATTATTCATGTTGCAGATTATCTGTGGCAAAGCTTCGACCCTCGCTTACCTCCACTGCTTGTAGCTTGCCTTCCTCCTCCTCCTGACTCCCCGCTACACTGCTTTCCTTCTGCCATCTTCCCTCCTGCCTCTCACAACTGAGACTGTCGCTGATGTCCAGGGTTAGTGCACTGACCAGGTCTTCTCTTGGAAGTCGTTTCAACCACGTCTTTGGTGTTGGCTGCAGGTGACCAAATGGAAACAAGATGGGAGACTGTCATGGACTTGTAAACCCAGAAGGAGTGTCTCTCCTTTCAAACGTCTGTGGCTTACTTTTCTACAAGCCTTTACCATGTTAAGTAAGTTGGTGCAGGTAGTAATGGTCAATTCATTTGCTGTTAGCAGATTGATTGGGTGTGTGCCTCATGGTGAGCTGTGTTTCCAGTGAACAAAGCATGGCAAGAGCTGCCCTTTCAAAAATTAAGTTGCTGCTGGGGAGTCAAATAGGAGAAAACAAAAACACAGTAAAGTACTGGATATGAGTTGGGCCCGCCACTCTGATCCTAAACACAGGGTGACCCACACAGTGGGTCACAATGAAGGGACCGCTCATGTGCTCAAAGAGCCCTCTCTGAAATGGGGACAATTAAAAAAGAGTCCTGAGTCACAAAAACCCTGCCATTGCCTGCAAAGTCCAAGCACAGGGACGGTGTGACACAGGGTATTTGATGCACGAGGACGTAGACTGTGGCTGAGGTTGTGGTTGTAGGTGAAGGACTGAGGGCTGTGGAGAAGTGTGCGGAGTCTGATGATCCTACAGAGATCTGGCTCACACTCCATGAGGTCACTCACTAGCCAGTTGTCTCAGAAGCAGGAGAGAGTCACTCCTGATGCCAGTCCAGGTGACACAGGGAGACCTGATTTCAAACAAACAAAACCAAAAAGGTCACTCCTTATTGTGTGGTGGTAGTGTCATAGTTTGCTTTCTGTTGCTGTGATGAAAGCAACTTGGAGAAGAAAAGGGTTTGTTTGGTTTACATGTTCTATTTACAGTCCGTCATGGAGGGATGTCAGGGCGAGAACTGGGGGCAGGGACTTGGAGACAGGAGCTGACGCAGAGGCTATGGAGGGAGCTGCTTACTGGCTTGCTTCCAATTGGCTTGCTCAGCCTGCTTTCTTAGAGAACCCGGGACCACAGCCCAGGGGTGGCACCGCCCACAATGGGCCAGACCCTCCCCCTCAATCATCAATCAAGCAAGTGCCCCCCAGAGTGGCCTACGTCTCAATCGTCTCAATCCGATAGAGGCAATTGCTCATTTGACCATCCTTTGCCCTTGATGTGTCAGGGCTTAGGCCAAGCTGACAAACACTGGCCTGTGCCGACGGGCTGAGGGAGCTAAGAGCAGAGCCAGGGCTGATGCAGAGTCCGGGCAAAAGACGACTGTGTGGTCTTCGTGGACCTGCGGACCTGTGCACTTCCCAAGCCTCAAGCAGTGGAGAGAACTGGTTGATAGCTTTGTGTATTTTGCCCACTGTGGGCCTTTTTGTGGTGCCTCCATGGACGGAGATGGGATGACAATCCCACATGGTGGAAGGAATGAGCCGACTACCACCCACGTGGCATCCCCCACCCTGAAAAAATTGTAAAAAGGTCACTTTGACAGTGTCATAGCTCTGCTGAACTTAGAGTAGTTAGGGCTCACATATTTGGCTGCCCGGAACTTACAGAACTAGCTAGGACGTGTAGTCAGTCCCCACTCTCTGTTTCTACTTCATTCAGCTAGAGGCTTTTTGAGAGTTTTCTGGGACATAGATGTAGTTCTAACCCAGCAACGAAGAAGAGTTTGCCTGTGTGGCGCCCATACGGTATTTTAGATGGGGGCAGATAGTGAACACACAAGTAGAGAAGGTATTTGGATAGAGAGAAGCGGGCGGGGAGACCGTCAAGGGATGGATGGGAGAGCTGTTCTCAAGTGCGGGTGGAGCGGGGTGGGGCGGCCACTGTACCAAGACAGGAGCATTTGACGAGAGGGAAGAACAGTGTTTGTTTGTGGGGACAATGCCTTGGCAAGAGAAAACAAGAACATAAGCCCGGAGCCAGGAGTGTGCTTGGTGGGTAAGCAGCAGCCGGGGAGGACTGCTGAGCAGAGTGGAGCTGGGGAAGTGAGAGGAGCGGAAGCTGGAAACAGGGCCACGGTGTCTTGAGGACCACCTTCACTGTTCGGAGAACCTGACTGAACAAGAGGAGCCGTCACTGGGGATGCTGGCGAGAGGAATGGTAACATAAGGGCCACTGTGGCTACTTGGTGGAAAATGGAAGCGTGTTGACCAAATACAAAAAGAGGCATGAGAAGAGCTTGGGGTTTGCAGCAAGCTAGGCAGAATGATGGTGCCCATTCTCTGTTGCTCTGAACAGACACCTTAGCAAGAAAGTATGTTCAGGGCCATGGGACTAGAGTCCTCTTGGTCCTTGTGACCTCCTGGTGACAGGCAGCACAGTGCTGGACACACAGTGCAGACAAGGTGGGAGGGTGAGACCTGAGGCCAGGGCAAGCACGGGGTCCTGTGAGAACTACAGTAATTCCTGCCCTAGGGGTGAGACCCAGAGACCCAGTGGCCTCCTGTTGGTACCACTCTCAAAGGTCTCCATCTCTTTGCAGCCCCACACTAGGACCAAAGTTATAGCTGTGATCTGTGGTAGGCACACTTTGGCCATGAGCAGAGCCTTCCTGTTAGAGATGATGTTCAGTCCTGGCTCTAGAAACAGACCATCTCCTTCCTTCTATGACCCAGGCTGTCTTTGAACTTGTGAGTCCCCTGCCTCAGCTCCACAGTGCTGAGATAACAGGCCTGAGCCACCGTGCCCATTATTTCTGTTTTTGTGTTTTAATGTAAACTGGTCTTACATGTTGCTTCTGGTCTGCTTGTCATCTTAGTGATGTATATTAGACACCTTTCTGAGCTCTTACAGAGCTGTGCTATTAAAGGTTATGCACACTGTGTGGTGGCACACACCTGTCATCCCAGCCTCGAGAGGCAAGTTCAAGGCAGCCTGGCTAGGTAGAATGTGCAGTGAGACTGACTGACTTCTCTCTCTCTCTCTCTCTCTCTCTCTCTCTCTCTCTCTCTCTCTCTCTCTCATTCTCTGTGTGTAGTGATGCCCATACTCCCAGCATTTAGAAGGTTGAGGCAGGAGGATCATAACAAGTTTAAAGCCAGTCTAGAACACAGAGCCAGGACCAGGCAGTGTGAGTGTGAGTGCTGTCTCGTTCATCATTGCTGGTTCTGTGGCTTGGGGCACATGGCTTAGCCTTTCTGTGTCTCAGTTTCTTTGTTTGCAAAATAGAGACATAGTGACTGTGCACTCAGTAGGACCCACAGAAGATTAAACTGCTTACATGCGTACATCACTTAGGGTGGCAGGCATGCGGCGAGCATGCATGGCTGCAGAATGGTTCTGCACATTTCCCATGATGCAACTCTTTCCTTCTTGCTTTGTGAGCTGTTCTATCACTTGCATGTATGTATCTTTGCATTTTTATTTTGTTTTGATTTTTTTAAAAGAATTATTTGTAGGGCAGATATCTTGAAGTGGGAATTTCCAGGCCAAAGGTGACTTTTCCCATTGCAATAGGAATAATATCTATGTTAAATCCAAGTTCTAATTCTGTTAAGGCAAATCCATAGATTTACTGTGCGTTCTTGTAGGACACCAATAAATTAAAATGAGAGACAGAGGGATTTAATTAAACTTTATGAATTGCCATTTTGTAGCTGAAGATGATTCAATAACTACAATTTCCTATGCTTCAAAGGGGCCTAGAGAGTATCAGGTATATTCTTGATGTGCTAGAATGATCAATATTTTGTGTATTCCCTGTTCATATTTGAGATTTAATGAACAACAGTTGTTTAGGTTAATGTTGTGGTCATAATAATATTGATGTTTGGGCATGTAAGTTGTTTGGTAGGGTTGGTTTTGGTTCTGAAGAAAGTAGAACACACTCAGTGTTTAGGAATGACGTGTTCTGGCTTTGGGATTCATGGTGATCAGTGCAGGAGAGGATGTGTTCTTTACCAGGCTCTGCACCGAGCTCTGCTCCACACTGAATGCTACGTTGCACTGGCCCCAGAGTGAAGCTGGATTAGCCCAGACAGCCTCTTCTCCTCCTCATGTTAGAGAACTTGTGTGAGCCCAGAAGGTTCCACAAAGAAAGCACCAACAATCACATTTAAGATTGGATTGTTACCCCATAGTGAAAACAATGGAAATTAAACAGGTTGGCACGATGGTTAATAAAATGGCTAATTGCTAATGTCTGGCACAGGCCCCTTGCTGAAGGGGATGCTGTGTCTTCCATTGCATTCTTAGAAAGACCCATGCTCCCCAGCCAGCTGCCAGGTGCATGATGGTGATGATCTCAGGGCCTGTGCACCAGCTAGAGGCAGGGGATCGAAATTCAGGGCCTTCTCTTACACCTGCCAGTTCCAGGCCAGGCCAACCTGGACTACAGGAGCCCTTTCTCCTTCTTGACTGAGCCCTGTCACTTCTGGGGTCCTGTCTTGACCATGTATTTAGAGATGGCAGGTGGTTTATTATTTTAAATAATTCTTACAGTAAAAGACTTGAGACTATACAAATATCCACTAACAAAGGTGTGTTTAGCTGTGCGGCCATGCTGCACAATCATTTAAACTCATTTTCTCATGAAAATGTTTATGGCACCATGTTAATTATGATTAAAGGCTTGAAAATAAAGGAATGGGAATAGTTAGTAGAGTTTGTCTTTGGTGGTAAGATCAGAGATGGTGTTGGGGGGTTTTGTGCCTCCTGTTTTTCTTATCCCCTTTGGCATTTGCTAAGAATGTTGTGGTAAATCCACATATAAGTTATAAAATAGGAAGAGCATGTGACCCCTGCACATAATACAGACATTTTCACCAAAAGCGTTTGAAAACCATTATACAGATGTCATGTATGTATATCTGTTTAGTAAATATTTATTAAATGTGTTTTGCATGCTAGTTCTGAAAGGAGACAGTGGAAATGTAATAGTGTAACGTAAGAGTAGAAGTAACATGACGTAGAATGTTGGTTATGGTGTAAGAGGGAAGTATTAGTGTGTGGGTTCAGAGAAAGCATGAATCATGCCTGTTGAAGTGGTTCAAAGAAGTTGGTTAAAAAATAATAAGTTCTGAAGGACCTTTAAGGATAATGTCTTAGTCACAGGTTGATTGCTGTAAAGAGACACCATGCCCATGGCAACTCATCTTTTATAAAGGAAAACATTTAACTGGGGGCTGGCTTACAGTTTGAGAGGTAGTCCATTGCCATTGTGGTGGTGAACATGGTGTCATGCATGGTGCTGTAACAGCAGCTGAGAGTTACATCCTGCTCCACAGGCAGCTCAGAAGGAGGGAGGGAGAGGGAGAGATAGAGAGACAGACAGACAGACGGACAGAGAGAGATAAATCCATGGCCTACTGTGGGCTTATGAAACTTCAAAGCCCCCGCAGTGACACACTTCTTCCAACAAGGCCACACCTCTTGATCCTTCTAATCCTTCTCAAACAGTTCCACCACTTGGTGACTAAACATTAAGATCTATAGCCTATGGGGGCCACTCTTATTCAAACCACCACACTCTACTTCCTGGACCCCACCAGAGGTTTGTAGCCATATCACCTTGCAAAAATGCATTCTGTCCAAGGTCAAAAGTCTCCATAGTCTATCAGGGTCTCAACATTGTAAACTCCAAAGTCTCTTTTGTGGCTCATGAAATCTCTTATCTGTAATCTGCTGTAAAATCAAAATAAAAAAGCAGATCACATACTTCTAACATACAATGGCACCAAGTATATATTGTCGTTCCAAAGGGAGGAAAGGGGGCGCAGTGAGGGGATACTGGACTAAGCCAGACCTAAAACCATCAGGGCCAACTCCAAACTCTGCATCCCCATGTCTGATGCTGCCATGCTCTTCAGATCCCCAACTCCTCCCAGCTTTGTTGACTGCAGCTCACTTCTCTCTGTCTGGGCTGGTTCCACACCTGGTCTGCTGCCTTCTTGACAGGTTTCCCTTGGCTCTGGCATCTTCAACATCTTGGGGTCTCCAAGGCAATCCAGGTTTCACCTTCACAGCCTCACACAGTCGTTACAGTTGTCACAAGACTGCAGCAATCAGTTGAAAGTCAAGGTGGATCCCTTAAATGTTAGTGTGTCCACGGGGAACTCTGAAGCCCTGAACATACAGGAGATGTGAAGGGCCACACGCTGTCTGCACTGTCACCAACGTGGGAGAAACTTACTGCAGGGTCACACACACACACACACACACACACATACACACACACACACACACACACACACAGAGAGAGAGAGAGAGAGAGAGAGAGAGAGAGAGAGAGAGAGAGAGAGAGGACTGTGACAGTCACAGTCTATATTGTTCTTCAATTTAGGAGCAGGGCAAGGTGATTTGTGGCTTTCTTGAAGTCCTTGAAGTGAGTTGTGAAGTAGAAACTTCTTGGACGGGTTTGAGGACTTTATACCTGTGATCATTTGGTCGCAATTATTTGTTTTGATCAAGTTCACTTGGTATATGATGCCTGTTATTGTTTTGTTTAAAAAGAAGAAAAGAGAAGTGCTGAGACATGAGACATGTTGACTATAAGTTTATTATAAGCCCGGCAGAATGGGAGACTAAGAGGAGGAACAGGGTAACACTGACTGCCATGGTTGGTCGCCATACAGAGACAGGGAGAGCTTGTAGACAGAGAAGAGAAGAAACAGAGAGTGGGAAAGAAGAGAATGAAAGCAGAGTTAGCTGGAGCTTTACAGGGAAGATTGCGCATGCGCACTGAGGTTCCATGCATGCCCAGAGCAGAGTCCTCATGGGTGACGTTTACTTACGACGACGCATGCCCTGACTTGTCAGGGGGCAGGGTCTGTCTCTTAAAGAGGTAGAGCCAATCACCTTTCATTCCCACCTCTACTTATTATTAAATAAAGGTGGGGTGTTAGACATGGCTGGTTAAGGAATAAAGGCGTTGAATTCTCAAGACTGCTTCCTGCTGTCGTGGGGGGGGGGCGTTGACCATCTTTGGGGGACCCGAGAGGGTTGGGGTGCTGCCACAACCTGGGGAAGCTGGTCAGCATTCCTCTTTTCTTCTTTTTAAAGAAAACAATAATAATGCCCAACAGCAAATGGAAACTGATCTGAAAATTCACCCTCTTCATATAGGTAGGGAGGCTTATTTTAACTCATTCCTTTAAAAATTTTATTTATTTCTTGTGTATGTGGGCATGTACATTGTGACTTGCACACAGAGGTCAGAGGACAGTAGCAGAAGTTGGTTCTTTCCTTCCCCCTATGTGGGTCCCTGGGATCGAACTCAGGTCTCCAGACATGACAGGAAGCTGTACCATCTCCCTTGTCCTTAATTCCTCTTTCATTTCCCAGTTCTGGAAGTCCGTTTCTGTCTCCACAGAGCATTGTATCTGCAGCTCCACTTCCCGAGACTTTGGGACCAGATTTTAATCAACTTTTCTTTTGGTATGATTTGTAATCATTAAATGTCTAATCCATCATGGTTTCTGTTAATTTTTTTTAAATGCAGATTCTAGATAGAAAACCTTTCTAATTCTGAATTTTTTAATGCTTAAAATAAGAAGGAATTCAGAGTAAAGCACCTATCTAGGCAGCATTGTAAGCGATATATTGGGTTAGTTCATGTTCCTTTGGTGTCTGTGGTCTTAACTTAGTTCTGTGACGTCAATAGGCTCTGGGTCCAGAGGTGTGCATCAGAACACATTGTCACAGTGTTCTCACCTTATGAGGAGCTGCCCAGATCGTCTTCCCCGGGAGTTGGATTTGTTCACACAAAGCACGTGACATGTTCCAGGGGCAAAAGATGGGAAAATAAATTAACATGTCACTTATGAAGGCATAATTATGTACCAGCTGCCAGATCCCCCCAGTTCTGGACTGGACGTTTTCCCAATGGAGGGCTACCGCCGATCCCTTACACAGTGTACAGTTTTAGTAGCACCCGTGTCTCCGATTGACAAATTTTGACCAAAGAGAAGACTAAACAACATTTAACTTAGAGGATTCTAGTTGTGTGGGGATTACCATGGACTCCCTTTACAGGAAGAAATGGATTGTAATTTTTTAAAATAATTGGCACCAGGCGATGTGCTTGTATCATGCTCGCAGTAGTGCTGAGCAGCAGTAAACTCTAAGAAGGTCGCATTTTATTGCATATACCTGTCTGACAACACATTGGATCTTTGATATTAATGAATTTATTGACTTACTTTTGGTTAGTTATTATGAGACTTAATTTTTTTCCTCCCAGTGGCTTAAGTATCTACCAATTTGGGGAACTTAATTCTTTGCTGTTGTATTTGTTCACAGGTGGCAAACTCTGGTCATACATCAGTAAATTTCTAAACAGAAGTTCTCAAGAAAGCTTTGACATTAAGGAGACGAAACCGTGCGTGCCTCACCGCGTTTACCTGCAGCAGCCAAGTGCGAGCCCTCAGGACAGCAGCAGCTTCGAGTCCAGAGGGAGCGACAGGGGGGG